ACACATATATATATATATATATATATATATACACACACACATATATATATATATGGTTTCAGACTTTCACTGGGGGTCTTGCAACATATGTCCCATGGATAAGAGGGAACTACTGTATTTTCTAATCCTATACATTTCTTATTGCTTATCTGTCCTGTCATTCTGTCCTTGAATATTACCAAAAAAATAAATAAATAAAAGTCAAGCTGACAAAAAGCTATTAGACTGCTTTTTACCACTAAAATGAAGAAAATTAATTGTATGAATTTGCCTCACACTGCAAGAATATTTATTAATGCTACAAATCAGAGATCCAACGACAGAAACACTGTCTGGAATACAAAAAGAACAAAAATGAGGTCATTTGAATTGCCCTGAAAAACTCTCCAAATTCTTCAAGATGGCTTACTTGTAGCTATACTCCACAGTACTAGTGTTTAAAATTGAACTACAAATTAAATGAGAGTTTTCTGTTTTGTTGTTTGTTTTGAGATGGAGTCTTGCTCTGTCACCCAGGCTGGCGTACAGTGGTACAACCTTGGTTCATTGCAACCTCTGCCTCCCAGGTTCAAGCAATTCTCCTGCCTCAGCCTCCCGAGTAGCTGGGATTACAGGCACGTACCACCATGCCAGGCTAATTTTTGTATTTTTGGTAGAGACGGGGTTTCACCAAACTGTTGGTCATGCTGGTCTTGAACTCCTGACCTTAGGTGATCCGCCCGCTTCGGCCTCCCAAAGTGCTGGGATTACAGGCATGAGCCATGGCACCCAGCTGTAAATGAGAGTTTTAATGTGGAAGTAAAGGCAGTTAAATAACTCTCAGTAATAAAATGCATCAAAATATTTCACAGATTGAAAACACAGCCTGGTTAACTTTTTGAATAAAATAAAATTTGGAAGAAGGCATAGCTATTTTTAAAAGCTATTCCATACTTTCCTTGTGTTTAAAGTTTCAAGAAAAAATAAAATGATAAATCACACAGAATTATAAAATGACAAATTCAAGTTAACTCCTATAATTTTTCTATTTTGTTATGAATATTAGGTTATATCAAACATTCATTTTTAAATGTGCTAAAAATATGGGTTTACAAAATATGAACAGGTAATTTTTAAAGAGTAAATTATGTTAAGAACTTTATTATTTTTTATTATTTTTATAGGGTAGTAAAATAATGCCTCTTCAAAGTCATTTAAATGTTACTGATGCCATCGCAAAATCATTATAAATAAATTTTCTCTACTATCCAATTACATCTAGATAACATTGAATATGTACAGGTTTCTCTGGATAAGTACCAAAAGGTACCACATTTTATACAGACTTAATTGTGAAAGCTGGGTGAAATAAATTTTCAGACCAAAATTTATTTTAAGTTTAAATCGCTCACTCTTTAAATTTCAGACAGTGTCAGTGTGACTTACTTTTAAAGGAAAAAAAGTTAGTTTAAAATTTAATAACCACAGATTTAGTAATTTTTTACTTAAACACTTAATGTACATTTTCATGAGTAATAAGATATGTTGAAAACTTCAATGTGAAAGATTTCAAAGTTTCAGTATGTTAACATTACTCTTTAAATGTTCTTAATATATATATAAACACAAATTATATAAACAACTAGTTGTATATCTGCAATACATATATGAATACCATTCTTCTTCCCTAGCCATACTGATATAAGGATAAAGTAATAAATCTCTGTGCTATTCAAGGAAAAAAAATGAATGCTTTAAAAAATAAATCTTTAAAGAATAGTTTCAAAAATAAAGTTCAAATATTGCACAAAATAATTTAACTGTAAATATTACTACATAGTGTAAAACAATTTTTAAAAAAATTTTTACACTCTACAGTAAATCTCATTTTCTAATTCTATAAAAGAATTTATTGGAAGTCCACATTAAATGTTTAGATGTTAAATGCTTACATTCAGTTTGACAGGAATTAAATTTTCACAAGTTAACTGAGCCTTTGTCTTAAAAGTTCATCTATTTGAGTTTTATACATATTTTTTACATCTTCAAGATCTAATCGAAGTTCTTCTGCCTCTTCTGCTTTTTCTCCATACATCTGCAGAATAGTGTTGTACCTTTGGTCCAAATCCTGCAAAATGTATGTTTACAATTTTTAATATAACTACACAGAACATCTTTAATATTTATATTGCCATAGAAGTGAACAATGAAAATACTACAATTTAAATAAAAGCATATACTAATCTCTTTTAAAAATTAAACTCACAGTCCAGTCTATGTTGAAATAAATAGCAAAAAAAAAAAAAAATTAAAGAAAAAAACCAAGCTAGATAGCTATTTTACCTCTCTCTCCACTAAATCTACAATTCTCCCCATATATGGCTTCTCTCCCATTAATGTAAGCACACTTAATAAAAATTTAGTTTCTTTGTTCCATGGTGGTATAAGTATTACCTGGCTTTAGCCCCGAGGAAAGATCAAAAGAAAATACATTCTCATTTATGGCTTAATAGTGTCTTCTAACATCCAGATATGATAATTGTAATGATACATGTAACATCAAAAGTTCAATGTGATAAATGAAGCCTAGCCAAATGAAATCTAGTTCTTTTCATATACTGGAACTAAACATGATTGTGAAAATTATTTTGAATATGTAATGACATAAGCAACATAAAAGATTCATTTTTAAAGTTCTTTGCTCAAATATTAATATTCCTTAATTTTCAAAGAAATCACTAATACGTACATATATGCATTTTATATAAACTAAAAACATGAGATTAAATGTAAATGAACTAAAATATCTTAAACTCATTCTTTTTTTTTTTTTGAGACGGAGTTTCGCTCTTGTTACCCAGGCTGGAGTGCAATGGCGCGATCTCGGCTCACCGCAACCTCCGCCTCTTGGGTGCAGGCAATTCTCCTGCCTCAGCGTCCTGAGTAGCTGGGATTACAGGCACGCGCCACCATGCCCAGCTAATTTTTTGTATTTTTAATAGAGACAGGGTTTCACCATGCTGACCAGGATGGTCTCGATCTCTTGACCTCGTGATCCACCCGCCTCGGCCTCCCAAAGTGCTGGGATTACAGGCT